CCTGTAGATATCAATGTATGTATTCACGTACAGAGATATGTGTTACCCTGTAGATGTCAATGTATGTATTCACGTACAGAGATATGTGTTACCCTATAGATATCAATGTATGTATTCACGTACAGAGATATGTGTTACCCTGCAGATGTGACTTATGTGTTACCATGAAGATGTCAATGTATGTATTCAAGTATATGTGTTACCCTGTAGATGCCAATATATGTATTCACGTCTGGTACCCTACACTTATGAATGTATGTATTCATGTACGCGCCATGTTTTCATTCTTTTTCCTTGCTGTGTTAAATGAAAACTGTCACCGGATGCCATCTAACCTTTAGAAATCTCATTTCACAGTTCTGTATTCATTGTGTAAGATATAAGATTAGCATACTTATTATTCACTAAATGATGATCTTCATACAGCGCCCCCTGGAGAGATACTTCTGTATGGTATAACCACAGTCTGTCAATGTATGTACAGGGTGTGTCTTGGGGAATTAACAATGCGCTTTAGACGCATTTCAACTTAGGATTTCGTTGACAACTGTACTGGAAATAACTGACAACTATAATGGAAATACGACGCTGTTATTTTTATATTACATGTGTAAACAGGTGGATTGTCTGGCGCTCTCCACCGAAATGCCACGTCATTTAATAGTCTTTATATCATACATTCAGCATCGATGAAATTACAAATTAAACTTCCCTAAATCTAATTTATTCCTTCAAACTGATTTTGTACTTTGTGTTCATTTTAATCAATAAAACCAGACAAACTAAGTAAGCCAGCGACCCACTGCATGAATGAAGACTGATGTGCTTTATTTGAGGAGAGACAAGAACAACAATGTAGCAAATCTGTCAAATGTACAGACAGAAAACAGAGATAACGCTTACAGTCTACAAAAACTGTTTTTTTGTCTTTTTGATGCAATATTGCATAATGATTAACATCATAAACACCACCACGTTTTAATTTTGTTTTTTTTCTATTACTGAGGACTTTCACAAAATGTAATTTGCACGGAGCTTCAGGCCCATGGGATTTCAAAGTCACACTTAATAAAATTGCCATCATGTTGAAAATGAAAACTTCACCATGAAACAGCGTCAAATTTTTAGATAAAAGCTGTTTTTCGGACTCAAATCACGGAAATTGGTCTGATGTCTATAAGACAACCGCTTTACCATTTATTGTGTTTACGGTATACACTGTGTCTGTACATTTAAACAACAATGACATATATCGCAATATGAATGTTGTGGTCCTTGAACTGGTTGTACAGCAGCATATTGCAACCACAACGTATTCTGCAACCAATGTTTGATACGGTTGACGAATGCGGCTCTACACTATGGGAGGAGTGTTAGAATACCTGCATGTACCTTTGGACACTCTACATAATAGCTCTGCTGTACCAACCCATTGCTCTTACCTTGGAGAAGAGAAGCAGAAAGTAGACTTGCACAGAGATGAAACAAATGTAGAACACGGACATGATCACGGATTCCACCTTCTTACAACTCTCTTCCTCGGTGTTCATGTACTCTGATATCCTCAGGATGTTGTAGAGCATCCCTCCGGTACCAAAGACTGAAAGAACACGGAGCGTGGTACAGTATGATGTAGAAAGTATCGCCTTTAACATTATGGTCATACATTCTTTTTTATGATGCATACTCTCTCTCTCTCTCTCTCTCTCTCTCTCTCTCTCACACACACACACACACACACACACACACACACACACACACACACGCACACACACACAACCCTGCCCATTACATAAACATTATCATTATATTAAGAAGATACCATGACTACACTGTCTCACTGCCCTGTAAACATTTTTCTATTACCAAGGAAACATATGACAATAAAGATATGGGAATGTCTTACTAATGGCGCCTATTTTCTGGAATGTCATCTGGTTGTTTTTCTTGTGCCTGTAGTCTATATCTGTGGTCAGTTTGCCCCTCCATGCCAGGAGCAGTAAGGCAAACACCCAGAACGCTGACAGTGCGAACAGCACGGACAGCGTCAGCTGGAACGTGAACGCTGAACAATTAACACTCCCTCCCTCTACCATATATGCGGATATTATAATGCACTTAAGTAAAACCCAAAGTCCCTGCGGGCCATTTACGAAGATTTACCGTATGGTAAACACCAAAAATACCTGAATAAGATCTTGGCTTTTGTCTGAGAGAACTGTGGCTTCTTGTATCATTTTATAGAGCTTCTCATACCTACTTACGTTACTTCATGTTACTTTCCCGGGAAGGAGGTTTATTTTGATATACCGGGGTTGGGGTTGTTATACTGATACACTGGTGTGGGGGTTGTTATGCAAATATGTCAGGGTTGGGTTGTTATATTGATATATCAGGGTGGGGTTTGTTATATTGATATATCTGGGTGGGGGTTGTAATATTGATATACCAGGGTGGTGGTTGTTATATTGATATACCAGAGTGGTGGTTGTTATATTGATATACCAGGGTGGTGGTTGTTATATTGATATACCAGGGAGGTAGTTGTTATATTGATATACCAGGGTGGT